GTAGTAGAGTAATAGGTAGGAGGGATCCTCCGGGGCTCCTTTGATGGGCATTAGGAATTATGCCACTCAAGTGGTTTTTTCAATGAGTTGACATAATTCTATTATTCAACCATTCCATTTGACCACCTGCACTTTGGTATAGTGTACGCCGGGTTACGAACTAAGTAAATTAAAAACGGTGACACAGGATTTTCTGATTCGAAACAGCCGGAATTAATTTGCCGATTAAAAGTTGCCAATGCATGATGAAAATAAAACATTTATGGAAATCAACAGTATAGCTTCTATAACCTCATGTACTATTCATAAATTATTCATAAATACGATGAAAAGTTTTATAGGCCTAAGTAATAGTTGTAGGCCTATGAATGAATGTTGAATGTTTATATTTATGTTGCTGTGATGTAAAAGGTTTTATTGTACAAAGCACAAGAATACACATCTCATGTGTATTTTTCTATTTTTATTTTTATTTAACAATAAAGTAAATCTTGAATTTTTTAACCGTTCATGTGTGTCTTGGAAATGGAAATCCGAATAGGGCCTACGTTTTTTTTTAATTGAATTTTTCTGTTGAAAATATTTAATAGGCATAGTTGCCTTTTATTTTAAGCCTGATTTTAATGTGGAACGTAAAGAGGCCAATTGTTAGGGACTACTTATGATATGTAAAACGTCACGGCCTGGATTTCGGGTACGAAAACGATGAAAGATCATGGAACACTTTTCTTGATTTTAAACTTCATAATTGGTTTATTTACTTAAATGTAATCCCAGTTAATTCTTACATATTGACCTAAGTGAAAGTAGGCCTATATTTCATACGAGCATAGCCGGTATCATATTGTCAACAGCGATGACTGAATTTCTTAAGTTATCAACTAGAAGAAATAAAAATGATTATTATTTACCCTCGAAATAAATGTTATCATGAAATGATTTCTGTAGAAAAAAATAACTTTCCCTCACTTATCAAAATTATGAGCTTCGTATTTTCTACAAACTTGATAATGGGATTCATCATCTTTCTCCAACTGGAGCAGCAAAATATCTTCCTAATCTGGCACGTAATCAGGTGGGGGTGGGGTCGGCACAATCTCTTTACTTCGCCATAATCAGTTTTATGGGAACGAGGGTTTCCTATCTGGGCCGTTGAACTCAGAATTTCTATAGAAGTTATAACCATGGTTCATGAAATTTCAGAATTGTTAAGAAACACTTTCGAGTTAAACTTGGTTATAGGACCCCCTCCCCACTTCCATGAACCTGGTTACGGTGGGCCGGTTAAGTACAGGTACAGTATATGTGTGTGTATATGGTTGGAAACAACTTTCACAACTTCCTCCGTATCGTATACGCCTCAAACACTCGGATTTTTTTTTAGTGTTGACGTTTATTTCACGGGAATTTACGTATATTGACGCAAATTTACCTACATTGACGCAGATTGTTATGGTTTGACGTAAAATGACGCGATACTACCTTCAAAAAAAGTTTCTCTATGCTAAAAATGGAAGAGCCAAGCCTACGTCACTGTTTTGCAAAGCCTGGCTGCTTTGCAAAGCGTGGCTGACTTACGTCTCGCTGCCGGTCTGCCGGTCTGCAGCAGGATCTCTATCGGCACGGTGGCTGTACAGTCTTCGGTGAATCGCGTTAAAAACATAGAGCTATTAAACAACTAGAGTGCTGACAAGATGGCGCAGCAATGCAGAGTTATGTATGTGTACCATCCAAGATGGCCGTCGTAGTAAAGCGCCACCTTCAGGCTTGGTATACATATTATTACATATTAATAAGCCCTCTGCCTGACTATTATTTCATTAAAGATAATGAGTAATGGTAATAACAAATTATTAAACTATTGTAGCCAAAACGAGGCCAAGTGAAGCATCTTATTCAAAAATAAAGTACCAAGGAATGAAAATTAAAATCGTATACATTACACCCAAACACCGCAACGCTCGAGTTTCAAACATACGTGTAACTAGCTGTACTGAACTTTCTGAGTAAATTGAGGGCGCAATTGCAAACGATGGTGCTTAGCGAAATTTGATTGGCTAAATCTCTGGCAGCCATCTTGGATGGTACACACACACAGTTCTGCGTTTTTCGAACATCGAATACATTGCGGTTAGCGCTCTAGTATTCTTATTATAGCTCTATGGTTAAAAAATATCTGTCATGCGACGCGTTGTTGCGTCGCGGTCCAATGGAATTGCGTCAACTGCGGGGTATACTGTGCACTCGATTGTCCAGGTATAGACCTGGATAGGTCTATATAAAGTATGCCAAAACAGGCTTCAGTCATGTTCGATCTCATAACCGCGTTACGTCTGTTTGGAGTCTGCTATTTCATTACAAATGTATGAGGTGCCAAGTGTAAATTTATTATTTAACACAATTATTTATATATAGGCCTTAATTCATTATTTAACATATAATTGACTAGATCACCCATTATTTATACATAGTGCATTTACGTCTAAAAGATTATATGTAAATAATTTCTTTAACGTTTCATTATTTATATATAATTAGTTTACATTATATATAAATAATGAAAGGCTAACCAAATATTATTTATATATAATAAGGTTACTGGCTTCATTAAGGAAGGGGAAACACATCATTATATATAAATAATGAAAAATAACTTACAATTATTTATATATAATAAGTTCACTGATTCCATTATATATAAAAAATGAAAAGGTAACAAATCATTATATATAAATAATAAAAAGTAACTTACAATTATTTATATATAATAAGTTTACGGATTTCATTATATATAAATAACGTATTGACTTCAAACTCATTATTTATAAATAACTGCTTTTACATTTCATTATAAATAAATAATAGCTGTCGCAAAACCATAGCTTGGACTTCAAACTCATACTATGTAATGCACACGTGTTATCGTGTCAAGGTCATTATATGTAAATAATGGTTTTTACTTCCAATTATATATAGGCCTAAATAACCGTTGAAGTCGAGCGCCATTATATCTAAATAATGACATCGTAGGAAGCATGGTTTATAAACTTAATAATTCGTTATAGCTGAGTACTATATTCACCAGTGCTCTAAAGTTGCAATTAGGTCCTATTCACCTATCTAAAATGACAAAGCAAGGTATACAGCAGATTATTGAATTTAGTGGTGGCACCAATAATAATAATAATAATAATAATAATAATAATAATAATAATAATAATAATAATATTAATAATAATTATAATAGTTCAATGACACTAATTTAAAATATTTTGCGTTCATTTATGACAAATGCTCGTTTGGATAGCCTCATGATGCTTGGAATACATCGCGATAGGGGAAGCAACCTGGACCTTGACATCGTGGTTGACAGATTTCGTGCAAAATTTCCATAATGTAGAATTTAACTTTAAAGAAAGAGGATTTGTAAGGAAATTAGATGGTTAAATTGCAAACTCTTTGTTTCTTGTTTTATTCAAAATGTTTTGGTTTTGGTAGCTGATTTCGACATTAGAAAACATAGCCTACATGAAGTCATATTATAGTAGCTCGATGCCTATCAAATAAGTAATACAATTTCGCCATAATTCGTCAAATATCCGTGGCTGCCTGGAACCACACCACAGTGGCATAAGCAAGAATTTAGTCTAATGAAACTTGTTTATCATCTTGATACCTTCCGACGAAGTTAGAAGTTATTTAGTATAACTTTATTCGGAAAATTAATCCCAAAATCGAATTGCCGTCCCCGGCGTTGTCAGTGACATCGTATGATTTGTGTGCGATTTTCACCAATTAACCCCTAAGTAAAAAATAGTTGAGCAATGTAGTACCTTGCAAATCAACCCAGAAACCCGGTAGTTTGTTGATTGTTTA